CAAAGGCCAAATGTCTTCTCTGATATGTAATGCTAATTCACAATAAAAGGAGGGAGCTAGGGAAGAATAGAATTACTTTAGATTAGGTAGAGGGGATTGAAGGGAGGGGAGGGGATATGGGGTTAGAAAGAACAGCAGAATGAATTGGACATTATTACCCTTTGTGCATATATGATTATACGACTGGTGTGATTCTACATCAGGTAGAACCAGAAGAATGAGAAGCTATATCCATTTATATATAATGTGTCAAAATGAATTCTATGGTCTTGTATAACTAATTAGAACAATTTTTCAAAAAAGAAAAAAATATAGCAATATCTTTTACTATCTTTTAATATAACAAGATATTAGCAAACTGAATCTACCTATATATAAGAGGAACAAACAAGAGGAGCTAATCCCAGAATGCAAGGCCTGATCAACACTCCAATAACAATTGAATTTACCACATTAATGGGCTAGAGAAGACAGACCATATGATTACATCAAATAATATAGACAATATTTTATACATTCCAACATTTATTTGTGTTGGAAAAAACTCTCAGCAAACTAGCAAAAAGAGAAATTCATTGATCAGATTGAAGGGTATCTTCAAATATCTTATAGATATCACCATATTTAATGTTGAAAGACCTAAATATTTTTCCCCCTGATGGAGAATAAGACAAGGATGTCATCTCTTACCTCTCTTACTTGACAGTGGGACCCCATTCAACAGGGAGCCCCATCTAGTGCAATAAGAAAAAAAAAAAAAGAAATACACACAGGATGGGGCTGGGGATGTGGCTCAAGCGGTAGCGCGCTCGCCTGACATGCGTGCGGCCTGGGTTCGATCCTCAACACCACATACAAACAAAGATGTTGTGTCCGCCGAAAACTAAAAAATAAATATTAAAAATTCTCCCTCTCTCTCTCTCTCTCTCAAAAAAAAAAAAAAAAAAAAGAAAGAAAGAAAAGAAATACACACAGGAAAGGGAAATATAAAAACTGTTCTTATTTGCAGGTAATGTGACTTTCTATGTATAAAACCCCAAGAATCGGGCTGGGGATGTGGCTCAAGCAGTGGCGCGCTCACCTGGCATGCGTGCGGCCTGGGTTCGATTCTCAGCACCACATACAAACAAAGATGTTGTGTCCGCCGATAACTAAAAAATAAATATCAAAAATTCTCTCTCTCTCTCTCTTAAAAAAAAAAAAACCTTAAAAAAAAAACCCCAAGAATCTACACAAGCTCCTAAAACATGTGAATTTACCTAGGTTGTAAGGAATAAGAGCAATATAAAGAAATTAACTGTATTTTCAAATATTATTAAACAACTGGAACTTGAAAGTGTATCACATACATAGATTTAAATTTAACAAAACCTGGGCTGGGATTGTGGCTCAGCGGTAGAGCGCTCCCCTAGCACAGGCGGGACCTGGGTTCGATCCTCAGCATCACATAAAAATAAAGGCATTGTGTTGTGTCCATCTACACATAAAAAATAAATATTTTTAAAAAATTTAACAAAACCTGAAAGAGATTTATATGTTGAAAACTACAAAATGCTGGTTTAAAAAAATCAATAACCTAAATAAATGGAAAAATATATAATGTTCATGGATTTAAAAAGATGCTACATCTATAATCAATTCTCTATAATATCATCTAACAATTAATACAGCCTCAATAAAAATGTTAGTAAGATTTTTCTGTAGATAAACATAACTGGATTCTAACATTTTAATGGAAAATTAAAGGAGTTTAAACATAAACAATTCTGCAAAAAGAATAAAAGTGGAAGACTCAAATTACCTGGTTTTAAAACTTGATATAAAGCAACTGAATCAAGATATTGGGGTTTTCGCAAAAGGATAAACAAATATTCCATTTGTTAATGCAATAAAATGGAGAATCCAGAAACAAATATAAACAAATGTGGTCCAGTGATTTTTTAAAATAGATGCAAGGCATTTTGAAGAAAATGGCACAGTGTTTTCAACCAATGGTATCAGAACAAGTGGACATCTATATTAACCGTGTCTTTTATTTTCTGTATTACATGATATTTTGATGTCTTAAAAAACACAAAACAATGCTAGCCAGGGAGAGACTGCCCCTTCTTGGGCTAGATAACTCTTAAAATAGCGCAGGGCTCAGCTGGGATCACATACTTCACATCAAACCAAGGAGTCCCAAATCTATAACCCCAGTCGACTCCCAAACTCTTACCTCAAGCCAACGATTTCCTCTGACCCTCTATCAACCCAAGGTCAGGTACCAAGCAACTAGAGATCATCCCTGTGTCCCAAAGTCCACTGGAATTATTCAAACTAGCCAGTTCTAAACTGTTACTTTGCTCATTTTGCCTCTCCTGAGGAAACCCCAATAAAGACGCTAACTCAACTTTCCTTTCACTTCTGCATCTGCCTGCCAAACTTGCTATGATAAGTCCCGTACTCTTCAGAAAATGTAAGCAATAAATTCTTCTAGGAATGGCATTGACCTCTCTTGTATTTGGTACAATATCACTTCCGTAAGTTGAAATTCCACAGGTATAATTTTAATATAACATCTATACGCTAAAAATCAAACCTCAATCTATACCTCTTATGAAAATCAATAGGAAATCAGTAGAGAAAAGGGACCAGGAGAAGGGAAGAGACAAGAGAAAAGGCAATTGGTAGGGAATGATATTGCCAAATTATTTTGTTATACTGTATGCATGTATGAGTATGAAACCACAAATCCCACCATATGTACAGTTATAAAAAAATGGAAAAAAGTAACTCAAATGGATCATATATCTAAATGTAAAATTACACAATTTTGTCAGGCACCATGGTGCATGTCTCTAATCCCCTCAACTCAGGAGGCTCATACAGGAGGATCCTTGCAAGTTCATGTGTAGCCTTAGTAACTTAGTGAGATACTGTTTAAAAATAAAAGGACTGGGGGATGTAGCTCAGTGGTAAAGATCCCCTGGGTTTAATCCATAATTCAAAAGTAAATAAATAAATAAATAAATAAGACAAATAAATAAAACTTTTAGGAAAAAACTTTGGGTTAGATGAAGTATCTTTATTCTTAGATATAACATCAAAAACATGACCCATAAAAGAAGAAATAAGCTAGACTCCATCCAAATTAAAATCTTTTGCTCCATGGAAGACTTTGCTAAAATTGTAAAAAGAAGCTTTGAATGGGAGAAGCTCAACAACAGAAAACAAACAACTCAATAAAAAATTAAATTAGATAGGAAAAGTACAGATTACAAATGAGCCTTTTAAACATTTTTAAAAATATCATCAGTCATTCTGGAAACACAAATTGAAGCCACAATTAGATAATACTACCCATCTGTTAGAATAGCTAAGATGTAAAAACAAGAAATGACAAATGTCAAGGACACAGAATAACTGGAATTCTCATGCACCACTGATTACAGCCACTCTGGAAAATAGTTTGGCAGTTTCTTATTGAGTTAAACATGCATTTAGCAATATTAACCAGTAAAACCCACTCCTAGGTTACTTAAAATAATAAAAGCATATTCAACAAAAGCCTGTAAATAAATATTCATATAGCTCTATGCATAATTGCCCCAAACTAGAAACAACACAAATATCCAACTTTTTTTTTTTTTGTAAATGGAGAAACACTGTGGTGTAGTCATATAGTGGACTACTGTTCAACAACACAAAGAAATGGACTGCTGATACATGCATAACACTGAGGAATTTCAAAGGCATTAGGCTGTGTAAAAGAAGCCTGTTTCCAAAGGTTACCTACTATATGATTACATTTATATAACTTCTGGAAAAGACTGAAGTAATGAGATGAGAACACAATTGAACTTGCCAGGGGTTAGGGCAAGATGGGAGAGTTTGATTATAAAGGTGTAGCATGAAAGAACTTTTTTTGTGGCACTGAGGATTGAACCCAGCAGGGTCTTGCACGTGCTAGGCAGGTATTCTGCCACTGAGCTACATACTTCCTGAGCCCATTTTTGTTTTAAACATTTTTCAGATGTTGATGGACCTGTATTTTATTCATTTATTTATATGTGGTACCAAGAATTGAACCCAGTGCCTCACACATGCTAGGCAAGTGCGATACCACTGATCCACAACCTCAGCCCCTGAGCCCATTTATTTTGAAATACATTCTCACTAAGTGCCCAGGATGGCCTCGGGCTTGGAGATCCTCCAGCCTCCGCCTTCTGAGTAGCTGGAATGGCAGGTGTGTGCCACCATACCTGCCGCAACAGTATATACGTGTGTGTATGTGTGTGTGTGTGTGTGTGTGTGTGTGTGTGTTTTAAACTGGGGATTGAAGCCAGGAGTATTTTTATCACTAAATTACATCCCCGGGCTGGCCTTGAACTTGCTGTCCTTCTGCTCCAGTGTCCTTGGAATTACAGGCACACACTACAGTGCCCAGCAAAAAGAATATTATTGAAGTGATGAAATTGTTCCAAATCTTGACTATGGTGATAGTTACACAAATTTATATGTGTGTTAAAACTTATAAACTACACCAAGAAGGTTTTGGATATGTAAATATTTTATAAAAAACATTTTAAAGAGGTAATGAAAACAAATGCAGGCTGAATGCTAGGTCTTCAAATATATCACTGGGTTTAATTTTAATATTTATTTTACTCAAATTTTGAAGACTAGATCTCTCTTCTGTCACTCAGCTGACAGAAGTTACAGGGTCAAATCAAATTTATCAATCAAGGCAAAAAGTGGCTTAGAGGCAATTTCAAATTTTCACAGTTCAGTTGAAACTAAGAGAATCATGAATCTAGGGGATGTAGAGGGGAGACAGATCAAAAATGAATCAAACTATGTCACTCATGAAAACTGAAAGCCAATCTTTAAACATGCTCTATTGCTCTCAGAATTTAAATCTCATAAGAATTAACTTATCAAGCATCCCTCTTCCTTCTACAGATAAGAAGGCTTTTTTCTCCTCTCTAGTCTTCAAAAATACTGAAGAAATCACTCACAGCTTTAAGGGTAAGATCACATTGGAAAACAAGTGTCCTGAGTTGTGTTAGAATTTCTCTTTTGGTGTTTTCTAGATCATTTCGTCTTTCTTCAACATTAGTTACACGAACTTTGTAGAGTTCATTTGCTTCTTCTACCTTCAGGAATATCATAGAAAAAAAAAACAACACTGATCATCAGAATTTATGTTTTAGAATGCATACTTATTTTAGAAAAGTTGAATTTAAATAACTAAAAAGTCTTTCATCATGAAAATTTGAAATAGTCTATCTATATTTTAAATGGAAAACTTCTAAATATAACAAATAGTAAACATTCTGGTGAGTGACTCAACTACTCAAGCACAAATTACAATTAGTATATTGTATGTCTATAAAGTAAACATTCTATTTAAAATACCATTTTCTATATTTATTTACTGTTTATCTCACAGAATTTGTTTACCAAACTATTTCATAAATAATTCAAAATTTTAGTTTCTACTTGCTAGTATAATAATTCCAGGTGCTGGAATTAGCACGCATACAATATACACACTTGCTTAAAAGGTGAACTTTCTGAAAAATCAAGTAAAAAATATTAAACTGCTGCTTTAAAAGATACTTCTTTCACAAACAAAACTCCAAATTCTTAAGTCTCTTAGCATAGTCATTCTCAAAGTGTGGATCTCCACCAGCATCACCAGGGAACTTGTTAGAAATATGTGGTTTGGGGCTGGGTTTGTAGCTCTGTGGTAGAGTGCTTGCCCATCATGTGTGAGGCACTGGATTTGATTTTCAGCACCACAAATAAACAAATAAAAGTATACTGACAACTAAAAAAATATTTTAAAAAAAGAAAGAAAAAAAGAAATATGTTCTTTGGGTCTGACCCTTTATCCACTCAATCCCTAACTCTGAGGTGGGCCCAGCAGGCTGCTTGAATAAGCCTCTTCCATAATCCCAACACATATTACAAGTTTAAGAAAAAACCCTTTGCAGATTATTGCTAATTCAACTTTTAAATAACAAGAAAATATTACTTTCTGAAGTGCTTCCTCTTCCAACTTTCGCTTTTTTTCTAGTTGCTTGTTGGGATTTTTTGCTAATCCACCACATGAGCACTGATGCTCCTCCTCTGCACGAAACATGGAAGATTTTGCTTTTTCATATTCATCTTGATGTTGCATGCATAACAACATTGCCTTTTTGAGAGCAGTTTCTGTTTTGAGCTATACAGAAAACAGTATATTAAATATCGAATTTGAAAGAAAACCTACTATAAAAGTTTCTTTAGCATATTCAGGAAGATAGTTAAGCAGTATTTTAGAAAACTAGAGTAAGGTAAATGGTTATATAATATAGATGATTTTTAAATGTTCACAAACAGGTACATGAAACTCCAGTATAATACTAACCACTTTATTTTGTTCCTGTTTCCAAAGTTCCTTCATGTCTTTCCTTTGTTTTTCCATTTTTTTTATCCTCCCCAGTAGAGGCTGTTGAGGATATTTAAAAACAAGAAAAAGAAAAAAAGTTGTTTTGTAAGATATGCTGTTGTAAAAAAAGAATTGTACATTATATAAATAAATGTTATTAATTAAATTAATTTTATTTTTATTTTAAATTATTTGATTAATTTAATTTTACCTGTACAAATTTGTTGGCTTGGAGAGCTGCATTTGTTTGTTGCAAAAGGTGACTATTATGTATGTCACTGAGGAGAGCACTGGTAAATAAAGATTGTAGTGGCATAAACTCCTAGAATTTAAAATTAAGAAATAAATTTTACAATAGAAATAGCACTAGAATTCCATTTGCACCCACTATTCTTCAAAAAGAGAAACTTGGGTTTAGATTGTTTTCTTCCAGAAAAATGACTATTCATGAACACAATTATGGGAAGAATACTAAAGAAAGTTAATTATAATTCTAAATTAGGAAACTGGCAGCCATTATAATAACAAATATGTGTATAAAGTTGTGAATTTCCTACTCCTTTTCATAATTAATGGCCATATAAATTTAAAAGAATTTTGTCAATAAAAAGACTAGCAATTAGGGCTGGGGTTGTGGCTCAGTGGCACAATGCTTGTCTGGCACGTGAAAGGCACTGGGTTCAAATTCTCAGTACCACATATCAATAAATAAAATAAAGGTCCACTGACAACTAAAACAAATTTTAAAAACAAATGAATAAAGTTCATTATTTTTTTTTAAAAAAAGACTAGCAATTGAGTTCTTTCCTCTAGTACTTGAAATTTTCTGATTTTACAAGACACTATTTAGGAGCTCACCTGACTAGTCCTCTTATAATAGAACCCTAGAAATTCACAGAACACTTACCTCTAGGGCAATGTTAGTTCTAGTTGCTTCTGCCAACTTTACAAGATTTCTGGTGGATTCCATTTCTGAAAAGATTAAAGTAGGTATCAGAAGGCAAAAATTAATAAATCCCCCCACCCCCATACTCCATTTGTAATTCTCCAATTGAAAGTGATTACAAGATGGGAATGATGGCATATGCCTGTAATCCCTGAGGCAGAAGGAAGATTGTCAAGTTCAAAGCCAGCCTCAGTAATTAGGACCCTGCTTAATTAACTTAGCAAGATCCTTTTTCAAATTAAAAAATAAAAAGGTGCTGGGAATGTGCCTCAGTGGTTGAGTGCCTCTGGGTTCAATCCCTGGTGCCACCCCCCAGCCCCCCAAAAAAGGAAAAGAAAAAAGTGATCACATATACTAGTGTGCATCTTGATGAAAACGCAGTAATTCTTAATTTTAAGTGCTTGTCAGAATCAACTGGGAAACTTTTTCAAAATACACTTGACTGGACTTTACCTCTCTGAGAAATGAAACCTAGGCCTTTTTAAGGCTATTCAAGTGATTTTAATTAGCATTCCCTATTAAAAACAAACAACACAGTGGAAAGAGCACAGGCTTTGATAGATTCTATTTTCTTCTAGTTATGCTCTATGACCTTAAGTAAAACTGCTGTATGACCTTAAGAAAAATCACTTGTTTGTCTTATCTGTAAACGGGGCTAAGAATTCTTGTCTTGCCTATTTCCCAGGGTTTTGTACGACTAAATGAGATAATGCATATGAAAACATTTTTTCAACTGTAAAACTATAGGTTAATATTAGCTGTTAAGATGTTTCTTCCAGCTGGGACTGTAGCTCAGTGGTGGTAGCATATACTGTGCTTGCCCAGCCTGCATGATGTGCTGGGTTAATCCCCAGCATGGGCTGGGGTTGGGGATGTTTCTTCTAAACTTTCACTGCCTTCTGTTGAAACATCTGTTGTTGTGTTTATCTCCTTTTACCATACTATCTGATTGTATTTCTTTTCACCCATTACAATATGACTTCTAGGTCTAATGGTTGATCCACCGTAAATGTTCAACAAGTACATTTGTATAAGAAAAGTCTATTTCGAGAAGAGAAAATGAATAATGACTTTATTTATTACAATGAAATAACTAATCTGTAATCATAATACTTACAGTCTATAGAAAATGAATCATAAACAATTTAGTTCTTATACTCCAAAGTTAATCAGATGTTCCAAAAGACAACTCACCCAGGTTAAGCTTTTTTTCAACCCATGACACTATGTTCTTTGCATATTTTGACCAAGTTTTAGCATATGACAAGGCCAATTCAATAGAGTCAGTGTTTTTTAATAGCACATTGACTAATTCTACAGGAGAAAAATTTCCTGAAAATAAAAATATCAGCGTAAGTATTTGTTAAATATGGTCTGTAGTAATTCTAAACAAAGCAGCATTCAGACAAAGGGCACAATTTAAACATAAAATGGTTTCAAGTTACAATATATTTTTTTCTTAATATGTATTTCTATTATTCAAGTTACAAGTCTTATATTCTTGATCAGTCTACATCATCAAATTATTTACCTACTCAATTGGGATTTTCCTCTTAAGTTTTATACATAACACTTTATATATCATTTTGTACTAAAAATGAGTACATTAGGTACACTTGGTTACTAATCAAGAAGAGATTAAGTAACCCAGAACACTTAGTGAAAGAAACTACAAAATGTTTGACAAAACTTATAAGTACGTTGAGTATTACCTTTTCCATTGGATGACTCCACTGAGCCCACAGAAATGTTTTCTAAAGACTTTACAACATGGAAGAAAACAAATTTACGATTAGTACAGAAGACAACAAATCTCTGCTTCAGAAATTTTTCACTCCAATTTGTTACTTTGGCATAATTACTGCTAAAGAATTTCAAGTATTTAAAACCTTTCAAAGGGCCTGAGAAGTCTGTTTAAATACCAGAACACTTTCTAAGAATTACTTTTACCACAGTAGTTTTTAAGATCCAAGAATGAACAATCACATTGTTTAATAACAGCATTAGTTAACATGCATGAATCTACGCAAACTTTATTTATTTATTTATTTATTTTTAGAGAGAGAGAGAGAGAGAGAGAGAGAATTTTAATATTTATTTTTTAGTTCTCGGTGGACACAACATCTTTGTTTGTATGTGGTGCTGAGGATCGAACCCGGGCCGCACGCATGCCAGGTGAGCGCGCTACCGCTTGAGCCACATCCCCAGCCCCTACGCAAAACTTTAAATTCTGCATATCCCCCAAATATTAGGAAGTCCAAGAAGTGATGTAAATATATTGCTATCTAAATAGAAGATATAGATCTGCCTTGTCCAGCCATCTTTTACCATTTTATTATATGATAAGCATATCCTTGAAAGTTTATTGGACAGCTGAGCACAGAACTTTCTGTAAAGATGCAAAAGTTTTGTATATGTAATATCCTATATGGTAGTTATTAACTACACTGTAGCTACTTACTTGAACATTTTAAAGGTATCTAACATGACTAAGAAGCAAATTTTTACTTTTATTCAATTATTAATTAAATTTAAAGAACTAGATGTGACTAGTGGCTACCATATTAGCAGGGCTAGAAAACTACATCTATCAAAATTGTTAAATTTTTTTAATATTTATTTTTTAGTTGTAGTTGGACACAATACCTTTAGTTATTTATTTATTTTTATGTGGTGCTGAGGATCAAACCCAGGGCCTCGTACATGCTAGGTGAGCACTATACCACTGAGCCACAACTCCAGCCCCCAAATCATTAAATCTTAAACAAATTTGATCTTCTTGGTTGGGTAATATAAGGTATGTAGGGATTCAATGCAAAAGGGATCAAAAAGACCTGGGTTCTCAAGTCTAGCTCCATTATTCGCTCTATGACATGGGATTACACATTTAAACTCACCTAACTTTAGTTTGCCCTTCTATAAAAAAGGGATAAGAACACTATATTCATAAGGCTGTTTTAAGAATTAAGATGATGTAATGTTATTAGCACAGCAGAGGGTACATAGTAAGCACTATTAAAATGAATTGTGGCTATTATTTTTAAAGTGTATTTTTCAAAAACCTTCATCAAACAATGTAATTTTATTATTAGGATTATATCATCATGAGTTTTTTAATCTTAATCTCTAGGGAAAATTAAAACTTCCAAAAAGGAAAGACAAGGCACAAAATTTTTAAAAAAGGGGAAAAGTAAATTCCTAATAAAGGTCATATTGTATGTGTCCACATTAGAGAAGCAGGAATAGGAAATATGATTCATACCTAAAATTTAAGTTGTTCAGAGCTTTGCTACATACATAAAATGTTTTATTTTCTGAAGAATCAGTAACAATTTTAAAAGGTAAAATTGAGGAAGAAACATGTATAACAGTAAAATACTTGACAATTTTAAGACTCTTCCTTATTCTCCATTTATCAATGGATGATTTTAGAAACATTCCTAATCATGTTTGCAATACGTGTACCAAGTGCCTTAAGCATTTATGTTCATATTTTGTATCATCAAGAAAGATATTAAGGTTTTCTTTTTGGGGGCTGGGGGTACCAGAGATTGAACCTTGGGGTACTTAAGCACTGAGGCACATCCCTAACCCTTTTCTGTATTTTATTTAGAGACAGGGTCTCACTGAGTTGCTTAGGGCCTTGGTAAATTGCTGAGGCTGGCTTTGAACTCCCAGTCTTCCTGCCTCAGCCTCACAAACCATTGGGATTACAGGCATACACCACCTTGCCTTATTGTTTATTTTATTTTGAGACAGGGTCTTACTAAGGCTGAGGCTGGCTTTGAACTTGCACTCCTCCTGCCTCAGCCTCTGAACTGCTAGGATTATAGGCATGCACCACCACACCAGCTTAAGTTTTTATATTATTTTGATATAATACAAGTACCTGGTACATTTGTTGAAATCCTTTTTGGATCTGATCAATCCTCTTTTTTGTTGTAGTACCAGGGCTTAAACCCTGGGGTGCTTAACCACTGAGCCACAGCTCCAGCCATTTTTCAAAAAAAATTTTGAGATAGAGGTCTTGTTAATGGATCAGATCATTCTTAACAGGAATTATCAACACATGTCCCTGAGGGAGTATGTTTAAATATCTTTCATTAAGTAAAAAAATAATCAGTCAACTGAAAATATTCCATATTATAGATCTTTAAGAAAACATTCTCCATACATTCCTCATGTTTTAATATTCCAAATATATTTATTTTTTTTTCCAATTAGAAATCATAACCCCAATCCTATGACAAAAGTATAGAGATGCTAGTTGGGAGAATTAAGACCTACAGAGATAACAAGTGTCCTGGCCAAAAAAAAAAAAAAAAAAAAAAAAAGTATGATATGTGAGCTTACCACCTTCCTCACTTTTCCCAGTTTTCTTCCTCCTCCACCCCCCAAGTTTCATCAGTCTCTCTCAAGATCTATGTCAAAATCAGTAGGGAAAAAAAGGTTAAAAAAAAATCCTTTCTAAAATTTTAGGCTTTATACCATACGTTATAAATTATCAGGCATGCTCTTTTAATGGTTCAGTCCACTTAAAAAGTATTACCAAATTATTGCTCTAGAAACTGATCATATTCTCACATTTTTAATGAATTGGTCTGGTTTTCTTACCATAATACGGTAATTTATAAACTTAACAATGAAGGAGTAATTCTAAGATTAGGAAATACTTGGTTAAAAACATTAAAGGATTCACTCTGACACAAACAGCCTACCTTATTTTCCTGAGAAACAGGCAGTTGTAACAATGCGTCATTGCCCACATCTTCCATAAGGAAGTTTGTAAAGCTATCCAGGGAGGTTAAGGAAAAGAAAAGAATATTATTATGCTTCTTTGTCATAGGCTTTACAATCATGTTATTGAGGACAATCTGTTTTAAGTAAGAACCTGATGAAAAACTCCTAGAAATCTATTCACATGAATCAGTCATTTGCAAATGGATGTTGCTTCTAAATAGCTATAAAGACACCTCCAAATACATTAAATAGAGCAACACAGGATGTGTCTTTTTCAGAGTTGTGATAATAAGTCACTACAGTTAATACTTCAGTTTCTATGGATTGTACATGCAATATACTGGAACACACTTAATGACAGTCCTCTACTTACATATTCCTAAAGGTAAATGCCAATGTTTCAGTTGAAGAATACACTTCTCGGAATAGATCGTTTTTGTTGTCTTCATTAACTTCTGTGAAATTCACAGCTACAAGGAATGGTTGCTTACAATAAATGAGGGAGAAAATATTTGGAACTAGATTCACACAAAATCATTTAATCCTTTAAAATCTGACCATTATTTCATTAAAAGATTCAGAAATTGAAAGGGATAATATACAAAATCAATCAGATGTCCAGGTATTCACTCAGGAAATCATAAAAAAATCAGTTTGCATGAAAGTAGTTGGTTTCTAAACTCCCTAACTCTATGCTTTAAATATTTTTGACACATATAAAAAAATGACTTAATGTGAAATCAATCTGTCTTAAAGTCAGAGTCCGTTACACCAGACCTCTTCATGAAGAGTGTTCTGTATTGAGCTGGGGTTGTGGCTCAGTGGTATAACACTTGCCTAGCATGTGTGAGGCTCTGGGTTTGATCCTCAGCATCACATAAAAAAAATAAAATAAAGGTATTGTGTCCACCTACAATTAAAAATATTTTAAAAAGAGTGTTTTGTGCTATTTTCTCTTGCTTACTGCTTTCTGGGGTTAAAGACACTGTGGCTCAATGAAATCAACAGGAAGCACATATTTACTATGAGCCACCAATAACTGAAATTTTATACACATTTAAATCTATATAAAACCTATAATACAACATATCACATTTTTAAAAAATTCTGTGCTTTAGAGAATTTAAATTCCTATTTTTTCATAGTTTTATTGCTCATGATAGGCTCTGGGTCCCTGAGATCTATGTTAATTGACATAGAGCTGTCATTTATTTATTTATTATTGATTAAAAAAATAATGACTGTGGAATGCATTACAATTCTTATTACACATATATAGCACAATTTTTCATATCTCCAATTCATGTCTTCATACATGTACTTTAGATAATGATGTCTATCACATTCCACCATCCTTGCTAATCCCCTGGCCCCTTTCTTTCCGTCCCACCCCTTTGCCCTCTCTAGAATTCATCTATTCCTCCCATGCTACCCCACTCCCTATCCCACTATGAGTCGGCCTCCTTATATCAGAGAAAACACTCAGCATTTGTTTTTTTGGGATTGGCTAACTTTACTTAGCATTATCTTCTCCAGTGCCATCCATTTACCTGCAAATGCCATGATTTTGTTCTCTTTTATTGCTGAGTAATATTCCATTGTGTATATATGCCACTTTTTTTTTTAATCCACTCATCCACTGAAGGGCATCTAGGTTGGCTCCACAGTTTAGCTACTGTGAATTGTGCTGCTATAAACATTGATGTGGCTGTGTCCTTGTAGTATGCTGTTTTTAAGTCTTTTGGGTGTCTTTTGTTTATAAAGAAACATTTTGCCCTTTGTTAATGCAAATTATGAAACAACAAAATGAGTTTTAACTTCTGTATGCACTCTTGATAAAAGCTCGAATACAATTTACTAAGACAAACTCTGAAGGTGGAATTGGATTTTCTCTTTTTAAGTTAATAAACCATGCTACTCAGACTGGTAATAAGGAGGAAATGGTTCTGTGTATCCTATTCTCTCTAGTATCCATACCAGTAAGGTGCAGGTAGACAAACCATGTGGAGAAGAAGCCATCCTCTGTTTTACCAATCGTTTTAAATCTTGGATGGAGAGTTTTAAAAACAAAGTCAGCTCCATCACCAAAGATTCAGATTTGAAGTCTCTAAATAAAATATAAAAAAGGTCTGGGGATCTGGCTCAGTGGTTAAACACCCCTGGGTTCAATCCTTGGTACCAAAAAAAAAAAATTTCTGGAGTAAGGCACAGATATTTTTTTCAAAAGCTCTCTCAGGTGATTCTAAATAGGCAAATAGAGTTGGAAAGCAAGGACTCTTAAATTGGGATGAATTAACCTCAAGTCTATAAACTCCATGAAATTACAATCAGATTTTACATGTATAAACCTTTGTAGATTTGTGGGGGGGTGAGGGGGGAATCCACACATTTCATTATATTCTTCTAAATATCCCTAATACAAACAAAAAGGAAAACTTCACAATCAGTGCAAGCAATTTAAAAAATATTCTAAAAACTTCTGTTTGGGCCAAGAAACTGGTTATAATTAAGCCTGAAACAACTGGAAAAAAACCTGTATAAAATTTAAGAAACAACATTTTTCAAGACACTGGATTATCTGGCAATAAAGAACAGTAGTCCCTGACAAACAAGAAACACCATGGTAAGCTTACAACTGCCCCACTTTATTGCCTAATATTATACAATGTAGATTCTCAAGCAAAGGAAATTACAGGGGGTGGGGCAGGGGGGACACAGATGGACATGATTTTATAATTATGAAGGAGTCAGGTCATCAAGAAGACCTAACAATTCTATACATTTATGTATCCAATAAACAGAGTTTCAAAATGCATGAAGCAAAAACTGATAGAGCTGCAACAAGAAATTGAGAAACTCATAGTGATAGCAGAGATTTCAATAGCCCTCCCTGCAACTGACAGAACACACAGATGGAAAATGAGTAAGGGTAGGAAGATCTGAATGATACTATCAACCACCTTGATAAGACAGACAATTATAGAGCACTCCAACTACTGACAGCAAACACATGTTCTTTTCAAATGAATGTTTACCAACACAGGCCATATTATGGGCCATAAAACATGTCTCACACTGAGTTTGAAAGTATTCATATCAGACAAAACACATTCTGTGACTACCTGGAATTAAATCAGGAATAAATAATAGAAGATCTCTGTGAAATTCCCAAATATCAGAAAATTAAATATCCAAACTTCTGAAAAACCCATGTGTCAAAGAAGAAGAGAAATTAGATAGTATTTTGAACTAAATGAAAACAAAAACAAAACATCAAAATTTGTGAAAGAGGAGGTGGAGAATTATAAGGGGAGTAAACATTACCATGTCTATGATGATGTTTTCACAGAAATATGCATTTGTCAGAATTTAATGAGACCCACATGTAGAGGCTTGTATATATGTAATATATCTCTGGAAAGATGCAAAAAAAAAAAAGCAGTAGTAGTTATTACTTATCTAGGGAAAGATATGGGTAGGCAAAGAGGCTGAAATTTAAAAAAAATGTTCACTGGTGAACACCCTCTCCTACAATTTGTATTTACTTGTGTGAATGAACTGCATAATGAAAGAATCAAGTTTGAAGAACAGAAAGAAAACATGAAACTTCTATAGTCTTGGAGGTATAATTATAATATAATGATTGCCTTTATAAATGAAGGGCAAAATACTGAACATGAAAAACCTAAATAAAACCTCCTTTTCATTTATATACAATTAACAATCCCATGTAACGACAGTCATCATGGGAAATAATATTCAAAAGATTACTTGACCTCAATAATAGCGAACAAGGGCACTATTAAAATTGACCTAAATAAATGAAAATACTAAATACAGCATAAATTCCTGAGTTCTGAAAATGTCTTTATCTGCAAATTTGAAAAATGCATCTGATGGGTAAGAACACCAAATAAGTCAATTGCTTAGGTCACTGCTGTTTTTTAAAATGTAATCAGGGGGTTAAGACTAAATGATCTAAATGACCTTCAAACTTTTACAGCTTTTTTTTATCCTACAGGAGTTTTTCTTAATATTTCTCTCTAAAATAAGCATAACAAAAATATATATTTACAGGTTTTTGCAAAGACTGAAATATGCAAAGCACTTAGATTGCTTGGCACAGGGTAGACATTAAAAAAATGGTTTTCACCTATACCTTGCCTTTCTGGGTTTTCAAAACTAAATTACCATTAAATCAAAGCATTAAATAAGCTCTTATCTCCATTTTGCAGATCACTGAATATTTTTCATTTACAATATCAATATATTTTTAGGGTGCTTCAACATTAGGAGTAGAGACAAAGAGGAAGGTCTTATTTAAAAACACGTAAGCCTACCCCAAAGAACAGTTTTTTAAAGTTTTCTAGTCTCACAATTCTTGCTGAAAGTAAATTTCACAAGTAATCTTCCCCTTTTAAGTTTCACCCAATGCAAAAGTAAACCAGTAACAATCCCAACAACAGTCATCGTGGGAAATGATATTCAAAAGATTACTTGACCTCAAAGACATAAAAAAATCTCTAAGGCAACTGAGATCTCTCTCTCTCTCTCTCTCTCTCTAATTGACTCCTTCTGGAATGTGGACACCAACTACAAGGCACCTCTTCCCCAGGACATCCTGACTGCACACAGTAGCCACTGACAACAATTGAACTAGGTCGCTATTTCCAAGCATGGAAATTTTACTATCTATAGACACAAATTTTCCTGAGTCAAATGGCACTTGTAAACAATCCATTTAAAACAAATTTGGTTATTAGGCATATTTTTAAAAGCCACAAGAGAAGCTACCCACTTTCCCCACTTAAAATTGTCTACCACCCATACATCAATTCCCAAGTCCACACCTTCAACTCCAAACTTCTCCATAACCCCTAATATGTTCAACTTGTCTTGTTTTTGTTAATTGACATCCATCCCCTCTAGACAACAATCAACAACCTACCACTACCACATCCCAGTGTCTGCCTTAAATCAGACCTTCAATCCTTATCTTGCCCATTACTTCTAACAATCTCCTAACTGACCTAAATACTTCCTTCACTCTCAATTCTTATATGTTGCAGCCCAGAATAATTTTAACAATTTTGAGTGGTAAGTCATTTAACTGGAAAGTCTCAATTCTTGACTGTGTTAGCATACATATGCTATGAGTGTGCACATACACAAACACACACACACAATAAACTTTTCATACAATTTTCATTTTCAAATCTTATAAGCCTTGTTCTCCACTTGGTTCCTTTTACAAACTGGAATTGCTACAACTGAACATTTTTAAACACCACTTGTTCTAACATAACAAAGATACTTGTACACTAATTAACTACCTCAAAATATCATGAACTCATTCATAAAGTTCAAATTTTAAGTATCAGTTGTATAGTTCAAGTTAGTAGTTTTACAGTGTTCATTGTCAAGTAAAGTTTACACTTTTAAGAGAAGGAAAGCTGTAGGTGTGACTTACTGGAGGTATCTAAATATCCAAGTATACATAACTCTTTATTGCTAAACCTCATACAAATGCCATCAGAGGAAATGGTTATACATTATGAAACAAAATGTCTCAATGGAGCCTTTTTGCCCACAGCTACCCACTTTTAATATATCATCCTTACCTTTCACTTTTCTAGTAAGCATTTCTGCAGCATTTTGAAGATCGACAGAATTGAGGTTCTGATGCTTACTCATTACAGACTTTAAAACATGGAGAAGCTCATCCAGACGTATAAGAATTAATTGTTTAAAACAGTCTTAAAAAAGGAAAAAAAAATTGTTTCCAAAGAAAAGTTCTGAAAAATCTAAGCTACAAAAGATCACATGAAACACATTTCAAGTGAAAGGCATTAGAAAGCATCCCACAATTGTTGCCTACTACACATTCACTTCTAATTCTACTATTGCAGTTATGTTGCCTTCAGAAAATTCTTAGTCATTTTAATTCATTAAGGGTTTCAAAGACTTTCACAATTATGGTCAATTTATCACTACCCTTTTCAGTTTTCTCAGTCTACATATGCTCTCCAGATATTCCCTCAAAAAATCATATAAGGTATTTCCTGTCTTACAGTTTTTACTATCATATATTTAATATATGTGATAACTACATTAAGAGTCCTATAAAGTTTGATGTTTACATAACTAATGTTTTAAAAATACATGTTCAGTTTCTACATTAGAGTTAATTCTTTCCATTGAGGAATTATCAGTTATTGGGAACAGTAACTCTGAGGCTATATGTAAGGACCATCATTTGACCTGTATATTTAAAAAATTCAATATAAATTACATATGATCTAATGCATTGATATTTTAATGAAGTTTTGTGTTGTTTAGAAAAATTTAATTAGTTGCTAATGATGAAAAATTGGGTGACCATTTTAAATTTTCCAGATTTCTGCCTACTCTAAAAAAAAAAACAAGATTGTATTATACCAGGCCTTCTACCTTCTTCAGCAGCTGGAGCAAAGCAGTGCTACCCTCTTAGATGTGCACATTTCCCAGGACCTACTAGTCTAATCCTAGCCTCCTGTGCTATACCACCCCTGCCAGAGGGATGCAGATAAGAGTTTTATAACCCCCCCAAAGTAAGTGACCATATAATTTTCCCAAACCAAAATACTTTAGTGAGTAAAAGGAGGATGCTCTTCATAATCATGCTAGCATAACAGGCATATTCTGGATTATCATCCCAGGCAAACCAGTATGTATTATCAACCTGCCTTTAGGACTCTGAAATAATAAATCTTCAGAAGTTTGAAAAGATAATCATCTTAAACATAGTATTATGCTATAAATCTCCTTTCCTTGACCTTACATAGCAACAGCATTTAATAATGGTTAATATTTACTAAATCTCAATATGGGTAGACACTCTTAAAAATGCTTAAAAGATATATTTTCCCATTTAATGTTCATGATTTTATTAGCTGTAAACCCTGAAATTCTCCACTGTACAGATGAGAGAAATGAAGCTCATATACATTTACCAAGTTATTAAACTGTGGAGCCAGAATTTATAAAGTTAGCACACATAATTCCAGAATCCATGCTCTTAATGTTACTTATAATGCCTCCCTACTGAAATAGTTCAGCTTCAAAACCAAAAAAAAAAAAAAAATTAAATGTGGTATTATAAATTAAACGTATATTCTTGTTTTCAGAAATGTTGGAAGACAATTATTAAACAAATTATTCCATTTATTAACAGTACTATCAAGAGTGAAATAAATGTGTAGAACAAGAGGAGCAAGGGGTGGAGGTGCCAGGAAGGCAAGATAAAGAGCTGGGTATATCAGGGCAAAGAGTATTCAGAGGGAAGCAACAGAGTGGTCCATAGAGTGCTAGAAGCAAGAGAGAAAACAGTGCCTTCCAGGAAAAAATCTGATTCATTCATCTATCAAATTTTATTGACGGGGAAAATAAAAAAAACAGGAGATCAAATACTAGCCTAATTAACTCTGGAACTAAGTATATTAAATGAGTAAGACTAATGGCAAAGGAAATACTGTACTACAACTGAAAAAGTTTTTTCAATGGGAAATTGGATTTACAACTGACATCATTATAAATGTACACTGGACATAAACGTGAATAAATGGATAACATGGTAGAAGCCAGACATCTCACTGTTACAGAGTGGAATTTAGAAATAAAGAGGGAGAGGAGAATATAATAATCCAGGTAGTGATGAATTAAAGTTGGAACCTTCAGGAAGAACTGATGTTTGGCTTGCTATAAATGGTTACATATAGAAATATTTATGGATATGTGTGTATGAACATGTGGATCAGCACAGACATATGTATTTCTTTGCTGTCAGCTAAGAGGGTCTAAACAAATGACACCCCAGTAGCAATAAGCATACCTAGCACACAGATCTTGGTTCCTGAACCATTTGCCAATAAAAGACATCAGAACTCCTTTGAGAAATGACTAATTCTAGGACAGGGGCAGGAAATATACAAGCTGAATCAAAAGCATCATGTAGTTCCAGAAGGTAAGGAAGAGGGAGAGAAGGAGGAGGAGAGGGCAGGGAAAAGTATTATAGAACAAAATCTATCAAATTTGCTATGTCCGTGTATGAACATACCACAGTGAATCCTGATTTTATACACACACACACACACACACACACACACACACATATATAATTAAAATGTACTAATTGAAATAATAAAAAGATTAGTAGAGTCAGCAGATCAGGGGGAGAAGGGGAAGGAAAAGGAGGATACTGAAAAGGTTCCCTCTGTCCAAAGCTGGAACATTGGAGTGATAAATAGTATCGATGTTGTACCTAAAGTATAAAATAAATATCCACATGTTCATATTGGTATAAATGACTGAATAAATTAATAAATGGAGAAAACAAACCTTTTGTGTAAAAGAATACTAACTACTTTATGTAGATAACTTTGCCCTCATAGAGGTATGATAGTGATTTCTTCCAAAAAAGTAACATATGCATAGGAGGATAAAAGCAGTAATTTTACTCTGTAGAAGTTGACAAACACCACATAAGACAGTTGCTCAAGGTCAACAACAACAATATTAAGTCATGTTGGTAGCAAGTACCCTTGAGATAATGTGATGAAAAAAAAAAACAACACTTTAAATCTGTAATCTCTCCCCCAATGTTTCACAACCTCAGTCTAATCATGAGAACATCAGAAAATTCTAACCAAAGGCATGCTACACAATGTCTAGGCAGTACTCCTTGAAACTTTTCTCACCAAAAATGAGAAATTTAAGAGACAGGGAGAACTTAAGGAGACATGACCATTAAATGTATTATAACAGGATCCTGGAAGACAAAAGGACATTTGGGGGGTGGGGAGGACATTTGGGGAAATCTAGAAAATTTGAATAAACTATGAACTTTGTTCAATAAAAAGGTAGCATTATTGTTGGTTACTGTCAAAATTGGTTCATTAATTCTTACAAAGATAAGGCAAACTGGACATAGGATTATATGAGAACTCCATATACTGTCTCAATTTTTCTGTGTATCTAAAACTGTTCTAAAAAACAAAGTCTGTTTTAAAAATAAAATACAAGCCAGTCAAACATTTTAGGAATTTTATGTACAGCTGGCATTTCCCCACAAACCTAATTTTAAAAAATCATTTATAATTTTTAATCCTTAGGAGAAATATGAATATCCAGCTTAATGAGCTCTATTAATTAAATAAACAATGGTTTGGTAATTGTGGGTGTTAAGTTTACTTAGTTAAGCCAATATAGCACAGTGGTTAAAAAGGAGAGCCTTTGGAACCAGACTCCCTGACTTCAAATTCTACCTCCATGGCTGAGAAACTTGGGCAAGTTACTTAATCTCTCTGTGCCTACTTTCCTCACCTATAAAGAGAAGACAAAGAGGGTCACTTCATAGAGTTGTTAAATTAAATGAATTAAAATACATAAAGCACTTAGAACAGTTGCTGGAACATAGTAAGCCCTCTATCAACATTTGCAGTTCCTGTTATCTTAAGCAACAGAAGATATAGGTTATAAAGGTTGGCTTTAAAATAGAATCCAGTAGCACTGAAATAAAACAAACTTCTGGGAAAATAGTACAACTTGATAGTTTTAAGGAAAAACTGTAAAATCATAGTTTTGTACAACCTAGTCCCTTCTTTATATTATAAAACTAGTCTATGCTAATATTTCTGGCTACTTACCAAAACCAAGGTTGAGTGATGATCATCACAGAGAATTGTACTGGATTCTTTTTGAAACCTAATCTATGGTAGTGCAATAGTATAGATGCTAAATATTCCCCAAAGGCCCACACTGGTTCTCAGCATGGCACTACTGGAAGGTGGTGGAATCTTTAGAAGGAAAGGCCTGCGTCACGGGGGATAGATACATCCTTAAGACTGTGGGATCACAGTCCATCCCCTTTCTCCTCTCCTCTCTTGTTCTGTAGCTCAACTTGTTCTACCATGCACTCCCACAACCATGTGCTGCCTCTCCACAGGCCCCAAACCATGGGGGTGTTAAATGATAATGGACTGTGAACAAAAATAAACTTTTCTTTATAAATTATCTTCTGTACTTTGTTATAATGACCTAAAGCTGATTAATAGTCTTCAAAGAGAAAACAGTTAGTCATTTCTAATATTCCCAATAAAATCAACAGACATTAATATACTTGAGAAATACTCAAGAATATGTTTTTTCAAATTTTGAAATCTCAGGACAAAAGAGCTTGATTTTTAAATGATTGTTAACCACCACCACTAATATTAAAAATTAGAATAGGATATTAAGGAAGAACTACAAAACACTAATGACCTAAATGTCTAAATAAACCAGGGTCATAAATTCTGGCCTTCTCAGAGTCAAGGAACTCAAATATATAGACACCAATATATTTTAAAATTATTAAACACCCTTAAATTGTCTCAGTTTTAATCTCTAATATAGTAGGTAATATGTAATAGATACAAAATACACAAACGAAAACTCTTTGGGATCCTCAGTAATTTTTTTAACAGTTGTCATGAGAATGTCTGATAAAAGTTTTCTTAAAAATTACTGCAAAACACTTCAATAACTGTCCGCAAAAAATACCAAATTCCCTTTTTCCTACAAGAAGTGTTTATAAAAAGATATTGAAGTTGTTCCAAAACAACTTACTAATAAACAGTAACTGAGTTATTTAGAAACCTGTTTCTGAAAGACTAACAAATTGCATTATAAAATAAAAAATCCCAAATTCCTATGATTAAACATATTTCTGAAGCCTATA